TTTCCCTTCTTTCCGGCATTAGCAGGGTGGGCTAGACAGCCCCTAGGCCAGACCCCTCGTCTCTGACACTGTGCACAGGGACCCCACTGCACTCTGTGATCACACCGGTGGTGCTCCTTCCAGAAGCTCAGAGCCTGGAACTGTGGTCATTTCCCCGTGTGCTGGAAGTCAGCTGTAATACTTTCTGGTCCCCTGATGGTGTCCTTGGGAATGTTTCTAGCTATGTCGGCATTTGTCATAAGAACCTGCAAGCCAATTCCCAGCATAGTAGGCCTTAATAAACATTACCTCCAGGTCCTCATGCTGCCGACTTTTAGGGGAAAGGTTACTCTAGCTTTTTATGCTCCATTTTCCATTTTGAAAATTTCCAAACTATCTCCGAGGATTAAGAGAAAGTACAGGTTTGGCGTCCGTTTCACTCATAAAGAGTCACAATTTGGATGAATGGAGCAGGTGAGGGCAAATCTAGGGAAACATGGGGTCATGAGAATGAAAAGAAAGCAGTTCCCATTATCGGATGCCGTTTCCTTAGAGAGAAAGCGAACTACCGTTAACACACACAGCAACGTCGAGCCGGGTCCCCACTGCAGAGCCGCGCACAGAGGGGCAGAGACGGGGCCGGGCAGGGCCGGGCTCGGGAGAGCACAGCCGGGGTGCCGCAGCCGCCCGGGTCGGCGATGTTAGCCTGCCCTCAGCCGTTCCCTCGTGAAACCTCCTTACTGGACAAGCTCGTGCTTAGGCCCGTTACCAGGCTTTTTGACTCTCAGCCTCCTCATCCTCGTCCCCCACCCCTCACTCCCCAAGTGGCTCTTGAGTGGAAGTTGGCCCACTCTTCCTTCACTCCAGGTGCCCTAACTCCTGCTTCCGCCTTTGCCGACGTAGCTTGCACCGGCTGTGACCCCTTCCTCCGTCCTTTAAGTCTCCGCTTGTACCAGGAGGCGTTTCCGTCCTGCCGTGGCACTGCCCTCTCAAACAGAACTGGCTCGTGTGCTCACCGCTGCCATGGCATGCTGTTCTCAACGCCTCCCGTGGAGTGCTCTTTGCATGTTCCACGCTTCAGGGTTAGCTGAGGCTGTGGCCTTAGAGCGGACTCTGAGTCAGAACCCTGGGGGGGTTCCTGGGCCCCGCAGAGCTGTGCGCCACGCTGTGCCTGTGTGAGGCCCCAAGTGCCCACGTGGCCAGCTCCCCTCTCTGGTGGGGCCTTCACATCTTCAGCTGCTTCTCTTTATAAAGTTCATCCGGAGCAGATGTGGCCGAGCGCGCTATTCCAGCCCCTTTTCCTGTTCAGGAACAAGCCGTGCGACACTCAGAGCTATGAGTACTTTGATCAGTGTGTGAACAAAGCCGAGCTTCACAGAGCTCCGTGTGCATGCCAGCTCCACCGAGCAAACCGTGGGAGCGCCTGCACCACGTGGTCTGTGCAGCATGACGCCCGGAGGCATCTGCAGCATCGCCTAGGTTTCCCTCCATAAATCGCCATTCTAGACTCATAGTAACTTGCTTTAACAAGTACTCTTGCGTAGGTCGCACTCCTCAAACCGACTGTGTGCAGTGCAGCCCGCGGCCAGGCCAGGCACTGCTGGTTCTGCCATAGAAGATGTTGCTTGTCAGAGAAAGGCGGAGAGGGAAGACGAGAAATCACCCCGAGGGGTGATGGCCACACCACAAGCCCTTCTCCTCCTGGGACTCTGGGCATCCACGCGCACACCTGGAATGATTTTCAAGCGGCCAGGTTTGAGACTTGATGTGTGGTCAGCCGTGTAGGAGTCCGGTGCCGTAGCTGTCACGCCACCCGCTGGCCCCAATTTTAGTTTCCTTAGCTCTACATTAGATCTCCAGACTCATTCATCCTACACATCTGCTTTGTTTCATTTTTTGTAATTGCCAGAGATGGATAGAGAAGGAGAGCGAGGGGAAGCGCCCCTCAGTGGGGTGTGCTCAGCCCGCCCCTCCTCCCCACCTTCTCCCTTCCATCAGAACTGGGGCACACAGGGCATGCCCTTCAAGCTTCCAGGACCAGGATCTTAACTGTGGCTGACCGTGTGGGACCCACTCCCTTGCCCACTAGGCCATGGGGCTGGCCCCTATGTGTCCCTTCATACCTTCTTATCACCGTGTTCCCGTCTTCTCCTGGCCCTCTCCTACCCACAATAGTCATTGTTTTGTTCTCTGTGTATATTTGATTTCTTTTTTAGGTTTCACCGTAAGTGAACCATGCAGTGTTTTCCTTTCTGCATTCTCCAGGCTCATCCATGCTGGGGCAAATGGCAGGGTCTTGCTCTCCCAAGGCTGGGTGACACCCCGAGTCCGTGTGTCATGTCTCTGTCTCCACTCATCTGTTGACGGAGACAGGTCGTCGACACAGCTTAGCTTTTGCAAATCACACAACAGGGGACATGGGAGTGCGAATGTCTTCACAAGGGGGTGATTTATTTTAGGGGAGGTATACACCCAGAAGGGTCCTCTGTGGTTCTATTTTTTTCTTTCGAAGCCTCCATGCAGTTTTCCACAATGCTGTACCAGCCTCATCCACACCAGCATCCCTGTTCTACCCCTACACCGCCCATTTTCTCTCTCGAGATTTTGGTAACAGCCATCCAACCACAAGGTCAGTGTGCCCTGACTCTCACTGGAGTTGGCAGCATGGCTTCATTGATCCTTGATGTTCCAAATTTCAGGCTGTTTGGTAATCACAGTTAAAGGCATAAAGATTGATTGACTCCATGATTATTTTCTAGCATCGTGAAAGTCACAAGTGGGTGTGCACAATCGTAATGCTGCCCTCAGTAATGGCGGAGGGCACTTAGACTAAGTCTGTGGGAAGGGGTCACAAGGCAACAGGGGGAGAAAGGCATGCTGTGGACCTCGGAAACTTCCAGTCTGACGTGACTGGGTCATAAGACATTACAGACTCCGAATGTCTTCAATGTAAAGTGGATTCTGAAAGGTGTGAGAGTGAGCATGCTCACTTTCCAATTCGGCTTACAGACCTGGGGTGTCTTGTTGCAGACCACAGAACAGAGTCATTTAGAGATTAATTTATCCACTTGCCACTTTGCAGGCATTAACAATGAAGCCAGGATTCAAAGCAATAACACAGTCCATGTTCCTCCCTTTAGCTCTCACTGCCTCTGGCATGCTGGGCAGGTGGGCCCCACACGGTGGGCCCCTCCTGGGTGTCAGGCTGCTTATTAACCTGCCAACTTTCTACCTTGACAGCCAGGGACTGTCACGTGACTCGGATATGGCAGGCACCCTCCAGACTCTTACCCA